TCAATGGGTCCCAATAATACCAACATGTGCCTAAGCATGATTTCTAGCATGAATTACAACTCAGGTGTTCTAACACATAGAGTATGGTGAAAATATCCAGAGAAGATAGCTACACAGTTCCATAGAATCGGCTAAATCAAAATTCACACGGTGCACGCCCACACGCCCGTCACCTTAACATCAATCACATAACACGTAATTCAGGGATTCATACCCTCAGCACCAAGTTTAGAAGTGTTACTTACCTCGAACAAGCCAAATCCAATACCGAGCAAGCCAAACGATGCTCCAAAAATGCCATCCCGCGTGTATCGACCTCCGAACGGCTCGAAACTAGCCAAAAGAAATTCAAATACATAAAATAAAGCCCAAGGAAACAATTCCAAATGATAAAGGTCGAATCTTTAATAAAAACCCCAAAATCAACCCAAAAGTACAACCCGGGCCCGCGCCTCGTAACCCGACAAAACTCACAAAATTTGACAACCCACTCAATTACGAGTCCAACCATACTAGTTTCACTTAAATCCGACTTTGAATCGATGTTCAAAACTCAAAATTTTACTTTATGAAATTTTAGATAAAACCCCCCAAATTTTACTTTGCAATCATCAATCAAATACCAAAAACAAATATGGATTCACGAAATATAATCAAAATCGAGTACAGAACACTTATCCCAATCCATATGGTGAAAATCGCCTCAAAAATTTCTCAAATTCGAGCTCCCCAACTCAAAATATGACCAAATGAATAAATCCTCGATATTAAGTATTTTTGCCCAGCTATTATGCCTCATTTCGTCTGTCAAACGATCCTGAAACTCACTTTGATGCCTCTGATGGGTTCCTTGTGCAATTTCAGTCAAGTAGGCTTTTGAATCCATTTGACCTTATAATAAGGGAGATATGTTGGTTTCAATATTTGGAAATAGCGCAGATTTATAAGTACAAAGTCAGTAGCAATTTCGTAATTAATCTAAAAAAAATCTTGCAACTCAATTCTTAGTAAAATGACCATAAACTTCTCATACGATATCTAAATTCGACGATTCTTTTTGTTATGGCTCTGTAATTACGATACGGATCTAATGCTTCAATAAAAATAAAAATTGGAGCTCATTTGTTTAACGTGGTACCATTTATGCTTGAAGAAACGACGACGAAACATAAGAAAAACGAGCGCAACACAACCCAAACCTATCTGAAACTCACCCGAGACCCTTGGGACCCCGTCCGAACATACCAACAAGTCCCATATCATAACACGAACCTATTCGATGCCTCAAATCATGCATAACAACATCGAAATGACGAATCGCACCTCAAATCAAACTTAATGAACTTTCGAACTTTCGACTTCCAAAAACTCGCGTCAAAACATATCAAATCAACTCGGAATGAATTCAAATTTTGCACACAATACCAAATGACATAACGAAGCTATTTTAATCCCCGGAACCACAATTCCAACCCGATATCATCAAAGTCAACTCCCGGCCAAACTTATGAACATTCCAAACCTTCAAATTTTCAACTTTCACCAATAAACATCGAAACCTTCTAGAAATATCCAAATGCAAATTCGGGCATACTCCCGAGTCCAAAACCATCCGGACCTAACGGAATCATTAATTCTCAAATCTGAGGTCAAACACTAAAAAGTCAAACTTGGTCACCTCTGCCAACTTTAAAGCTTCAATCATGAAATTCATCTTCCAAATAAATTTCGAATTACCTGATAAACCAAAAATGCCGATACACAAAAGTCGAAATATACCATACGTAGCTACTCATACCCTCAAACAACCGAGCGAATTGCAAATGCTCAAAACGATCGGTCGGGTCGTTACATTGATCCACATGGCTAGGTGACTGGGCCCATACATATATCATCTTTTATTCGTTCCAAAAATTATGGAATTCAATCCCAACCTTATCTGGTATAATGATCTATTTATCATGAGAACAACCAACACAAGAGAATTCTTGAAGAATATTTTATTTCTTCAATATATGCCAACGTGAATTCTCAATCAATGTTTCGCATCATAATTGAACGGGGATGACCAACCGGTCATGCCAACTGATATTTGTTTCAGTAAACCTCTAGTTTAGTTGTGGCATGTGATTCCATCATCATGCTTTACTTTTGTAGTACAAATAGAAGAAAAGTCGGGTAACCTTTCAGATTTACCCCGTATGATTATAGCAATATGAAGATATTCAATCTTCCTTTTATTTGTAGTCTCAATATGCCAACCACTTTGGATAATATCTTTGAAACTCAAAAAAAAAATCTTTTGAGACTTACTACAATATCAATGTCATAACTCATAAGCAATTTCAATCATCCGGGTAGTGGCAAATTAGTTCATCCAGAGCTCTTAATTGCTTTTGTACTACAAGATCGTTTGTCACACTATTCATATGGTAATGTCTCATTCACAGAGAAAATTATATCATAATAATTGTCATGGTCCAAATCATCACAAGCAAAATAATTTCTTTCTTTAATTTTTCCTTTAATAACTTTTATAAGGCATGGCAAAAATATTTTCGGCTACCACATACGCAACCAATAATATATTTTATGTAACCACATAGTAATATTCATTATCGTTCTTTCTCTCAAACCTCCCTTAGAGGTGAGTTGTAGTATTTTATTCAACCATGCATAAGCACATTCTTATGTAAAACTTGTATCGCATATATATTTTCACATTCACTTTCAGGAATGAGTCTGCACTTACAATGCTTATCACAAGTCACATTTTCAAGGAATGGACCATAATCATATGAATGTGACTCACATTAACAGGCCACATTGATACATTTTTCCTTCATCTTTGAAGTTTAATTTTGAGAACCCATATTGTTCTCCTTTTTATAATTACCATATTAATGACTATTATTATTTGGTCTTTGGCCCACGTTCATTGGTCAACCACTTGTCTTCATTTAGACTTATTATGCACCACTATCACATTCACTTCAAGAATGGAGCAAATCAAGTGGGACAAGCTTCATGATTTTTCATTTAGTCATTATTATATCATCAATATGATGCATTGGGACTCAAACTCAATGCCTCACTCATATAAAGGCATGTTAGGCCATAATGAGTTGGGACTCGAACCCAACTCTTATCATCATAGAGCAGCAGGACTTGATCCCGATGTCTTACCATCATAGAGCATTGCGACTTGAACTCATTGAAGTTGATATCATTAATATCAAAAGAGAAAGACAATTTCAAATAAGAAGGAAATGCTTACCTCTTGAGTTAAACTCTTCATAATGTCAATTGGATCTGATTCTCAACAATAGACTTTCGTTTACTTAAATCAGTTAAGTAATTATTGTCAAATAGATATATGAAAATACAAAATATTATTGAAACTTCACATATTGTCTTTGCTGCAATAAGCCCACTTCAAGATGAAAGTGATATGATCATAACATTAAGGAAAAATGATGTATCAAATAAAATAATAGTATTGCTAGTTACCATGCACTTTTGTGGAAACTAAGTATTATGCTCTCTAAAAAATCAAAGAGATACGTCAAAACCTTTAAGACAATCAGAAAATCAAATTAAATAGTGGGCAAATCTCTGTCTACTATCTACTACTATATGCTTTCCATATAGAAATGATTCAACATGTTAATTTGATAATAACTATCATTGAAAATTTTGGTGTATTACATGCTTCTTATACTAATATTCTATCTTATTAAAATAAAATAGTTACATTTATTATTATTATTATATTTGACCGTAAACTAATGTATAATCATTATACTAGGCATACTAAAATCGCATTATAAAGTAAAACCCATAAGCATAAACAATAAAGTATCATTTCCGTTGATTATTTAGTCTACTGCATGCCACCTATTATTTTATTCATGAAAGTTTAATAGTACTGTATTCATGAACAAAAATGATGTTTAAGTTTATATTATGATGAAACATCACAACAAAACAAAAATAAAGGAACCAACATTCATTCGGCAGAATATACTCACATGTATATCTGATATCAAAATCTAAAAGAAGTATTAGGCTTGATAATTTGATCATCCAGGTATACCTCATTAGAAGTGGAATTCAACCTTTGAGGTTAGAGACTTCGTGCTGATAACGTATTAAGAAACTTAGCTCAAAGTAACAATATAGAACAAGAAAAACAAGATAAGAGATATAGAGAGAAAGAGAGGAGAGATTCTTATTTCTTCCATGTATTCAAGTGTTTTCCAAGTGTATACAATATCACTTCTCATCCTCTATTTATAGAATTACATAGAAGTATACAAAAGAATGGTATTAAACATTTGAGATCATGGAAGAGATCATGGAGAAGTTATGGAGGTGTGGGAGTTACACAATAATGGTGAGAAGTAGTGGGAGTTAGCTACATAATGGAGAAGAGTAGTGAGAGTTATATTTGATTAGTGGACATCCATATAGATATGTAATTCATAACACTTAGGTCATTTTTAGTATCTTCAAGTGTTATAGTTAATTGAGATCTAAAAGGGTGAGGTAGCGTTATCATTAGACATGACTATGGGTGGCAAACTAGCAGGTCGGGTCGGATATGGGCGAGTCAAAATGGGTAATGCAAAAGCGGATAAATTATTCGACTTGACCCATATTTAGTACGGATATAAAACGTGATACCGGCAGATAATAAGTCGAGGTTTATCAAATGTAATAGTTAAACACATTAGGTAGCCATTAGTTATCTATTAGTTATCCATTTTCTAAGTGGATAAAATATGGTTCTTATTCATATTTGACCGTTTTTAAAAAGTTCATTATCCAACCCATTTTTAATGAATAATATGGGTGGATAACTGTTTTCTTTTAACCATTTTGCCACCACTAGACATGACTGTAACATTCTGAATAGCTATAAAGTGTGAAGGGATCAAATTCAAAGCAAAATGTGATGTTAAATAAGAAAAAAAGGAACACTTGGCACAAGAAGAAGGTATGCAGCGAGAGATCAAACAAGGCTGATTGCAACATCTATTTTTGGAACCTTGGCTTACATTACGTCATGCTTACTATGCCAAGAATTTTAGTGTTGCACTTGCAGTGAACTGTTACTAGTAAATGGCAACTCCAAAACACTTGTACATACCTACAGAAACACCTGTACAGATAACATAATCTAAAATCTCAATTTCTCCAGTCATCTAATCTCATGAACACCTCTAAATCAATACTAAAATTTTACACTAGCCAGTTGCTGGGAGCTACAAAAGTTTGTCTGAATCCCATCCTTGAAACGATTTGAAGTTTAAACTCCTCCAGCCTGACAATTTTCGTGTATAATAGCAGTTCTTAGATTTGAGGAAGCCTCATATTGACTCTAAATACGTTCATACTTCAGCAAAACAGCTCCTGAACGACCATGACACATCCTTTCGAAGCATTTGCTATATCTCCAGAGTACGTAATAGTCTCAGCTATTCAAATCATTTCGAACTTTCTGCTACTCTCCACACCAGAAAATGAGAGAATGAGAAAATTATGATACTTTGTTAAATGACAGGTTGAACTTGCAGCAATGAAGATTCCCGCATTGAAGTTTAAAAGTTCCACCGATCCAATTGAAGTTTGGCTTCAGCCATGTCTTTCTGGGCCTTCTTCCTCCGATAAAATATTGGGCAGTCCCGACTGGTCAAAATCAGGATCATTAGAAGAATGAAGGGGGATAGAAGCAATGAGAGGAATAACCAGCAATGGCAAGAGTCCATTATTGTCCAAAATAAAAATGCAAATCTTTAGGGCATGGATTGAAATTAAATCTGAAACGATATAAAAAAAAAACCACACATCACAATAAAGTAGAGAGCTATACGAACCTAGTGCATAGGACATCCTGATGGAGAGAGCCTTGGCATTCTTGGCATTGTGTCCATAGCCTCCCAAAAAGCTTCTCTAGTTCAGCCACTGCATACAGTTGTACACAGTTATCAAGCAATTATAGCTCTCTGTCCTTCCCTAGAGAAATCTGAATAAAAATACCACATCTTTTTGGGAAATGAGCAAAAAATAAAAAGGTATTAGCAATGGGGATGTACCATTAGTTACGGATCTGCAATAAAGTTCAGCTTCTCTTCCTTTGCAGTGATTGCACAGAGTTCTATCAGAACCACTGGATGAAGGAGCAGAGAAGTTAATAAACTATTCTGCAACATTTACTATAGCTTTTCCCAGAAATAAGCAAGCAACACATCCGCTCAGCTGGCTCTCTCGATCGATCGATCTCGAGAGAAGGACGGGGGGCGGTGTTTAAGTGATAAAAACAAAATTGTCTGCAAGCCTCTAAGAGCCTTCACAATGCTATGATCCACTTGGTCCTATTTCACCTTACAACTTTTTTGCCAGAGAAATACAAAACTCCATTTTATATATAAATGATCATTTCATAACTGTAAGGTAGTCTCAACACTCCCACCTACTCATGTCACCAGTAAAGCATGAAATTCGGCAAGGAATGGCTGCTATACTGCCTCTTCCAGGATATCTTACTTACAAAGGGAACTTAAAATTAGTAATTGAGCAAATTTTAGATCTACAGATTGGAGAAGGACCACAATTAGGCAGATGCTTTTAGCAATGATTCGAAATACTATGTCTGTAACTCACAAGTCAAGGAGAATGTTGAGAGGAAGGCATCATTTCCCTTAGATATAAAACAGAAACTTCTCTTGTAAAATCTTGTTGAAATTACTGCCTCAACGGCTGGAAATTTTGGATAACTGCTGAAGTTCAAAATCTGCTCAAAGCAAGGAAGTTGTTGAGATAAATAAGCCTTGCAACTGTTAGCAGAATCTTATCTTTCTGTTGCTATTTGTTAGGATATAGCTGTTAGGGATAATC